CAGGAGCTGCTTGAGGCTGTGGCTGGGGAGCTAGAGAGCTGAGTTTAAAATTTTTATCTCGCACGTACATATAGAATATTCCTGCAAAGTTTCAGCTTTCTACGTTGCCTGGTTCGCAAAATCGTTTCCCGCCAACAAATTTCATTGGAGGTCCCGTACGCGAGGTTTAGGCCCGTATGAGGAAAGATCATAAAACGGGAGGATGACACACGGGGTAGGAACAAATATCCACAGCTTCAGCCTCCCAGCTTTCCTGGTTGCTGAAATGAAAGTGGGCAACAAAATGCACTCGCCTTCCAAACACACACGCAGACAGCCTCTCGACAATATGCGTTTTTGCTGGCTGTAACAGCACTATAGCGCTATCTGTCTGTTTTTATGCTGTAGCGCTGCACAGCAAAAACACATAAAAACCATTACTGCAAAGCGGCCTTTTCTGTGCTTCGCTCTAACCTACTCCTTTACGAGGTATTATTCATTTCGGCAGAGAATGGTGCTGGCCTATACTGGCCAAGGGTGCCATCAGCTTGCTTATAAATTTCCGGAGAATCCACTAATAACTGTTTTATGGGACGACTGCTGATGGCCTGTTCTACTACATTCACCATCACCTGCTCTTTCAAAGAGTGAATCTAGAGGACTGTTACGGCTCGTAATTTAAGGATCCTTGAAAAGAAGCGGGAAAAATGAGTGATACCAAACTGGTATGATCCTTTATTATTTAAACTTCTATTAGGAAGTAAATGCCAATAATAGCGTACTCCTAAAAATATGCTAAAAAGTGTGTCTTTGTCTTGTTTCAAAAATCACGATCGCTAAAAACATTTTAAAAATTACTGAGATTTTTTTTTATTGTAGAAGGCTTGTTTACTGGAAGCACTTTGCAGACGCAGTTTTCACCGATACTGTCCTCACTTGTTGATACGAGCGGTTCGCGACTAGCGAAAACGATAAGTGTAGGATGCGATAAGGAACTGAAGGAATTGTTTGATGTGGATGCTTTTGTGCAGCATTCCTGGGAACAGAAGTATCAGTCTGTATTTGGTGTTATAACTGTAGGTTTGTACGAATTTTTGCGGGAAAAATACAATTAAAATTATCCTAGCCCATGTAGTATCCATTCGCATAACTGCTCCACCAGTTATTCATTGATATGCATCAGACTTCTTCCAGTTTCCCCATAAAAAGAAATGCCGCACTGGCTTGGAAAAAAACTGAGAAAACCATCCAAAAATCGTTCAAGGTTTCAGCTTTGGCTACCGAGATCAGTTAAATACTTCTTTAGAAACCAAATTTTTATTTATAACGAAGCCAAATACCACATATTTGCAAAGAAAAAGGTCTGCAGAATTTATAAGCCAATTTCAATGCTTAAAAAAGAAATTTTGTCAAAATGACTCACTAGAACAAGATTTTTAAAGCTTAATTTTACGCAATCACTTGCTTCCATTGTTGATACAACATCTGCCAATAACCAGTGATCATTCGAGCTACTTCCGAATTAGTTTACGTCTCACAGCGAATTAACTATTAAAAAATATTAAACTTTCGATATTGATCGATTTCATACTAAAAGAAAACCATATTTTACGATCGTAAAGTGAAGTCGTCTTATGTTATACTTGCATTGAAACTAAAATAACAAAAAAAATATAATTATGCCTTTCTGAAATCTTTGGATCATTTAGCTCCAAAAATAAGCAAAAATGTTTCATATTTTATTGAAAAGTTTCTTCCAGATTTGCCATTTTAGATGGTTCCCCAACTTACTAATCTTTTCGCGAAAGGTTGCGAACTGCAACTCAAAAAAATACGGAGATAATGGATCAGTTGCGGGCTGAAAAATTCGACTTAGCAATTGCTGGATTAGTCGACCCATGTGCGCTTGGTGAGGAAAAGTTTTATTCATAGATTTTCTTAACAAATAATGTTCTAGCACCTTTTTGTTAGCAGTTGCACTACTCTGAGGGCACTTTACTCAAAACTACCGCAATTGTTGCGAAATGCAGAAGAAAAACTAGAAAACAATAATAAACAAATGGCCAACGCACGGGCTGCCCGTGCGAAGATGCGTTTTTTGCAGAGTTCCCCGCAGGTT